ATTTAAGCAGAAGTAAGTACCAAATAAAAATCATCTGATCGTTGTTTAAGCCCTTGGCTGTCGTGACCTGGATGTAAGGCTCAGGTAATTGGGAATTTGCAATTCCATGCGTGCTGCATTGCGCCCCCCCCCCCCTCTTACGACAACTCCCCCCCCCCCACCACTTCAGGTACACAAAACACATTTATGATACCAAAGTTCAACTCCAGATCGTCATTCCAGTTCGCGTGTTATGGATTTGGGTTGTTAAGATTAATTGCCAGATTTTATGTTGTATGTTTGGTGTATTATGTCGACGTTAGTAAAAATTCATTCATATTTTCAGATTTCATGTGTTTAAGCATGTTTAAGTTATACTCCTGGTTTTATAACAATATTTGCATAGTAGGCTACCTTTTTAACAATTTTCTCCGGATAGATGTTTTTGTGGTCGAAAATTGTTGCATGTGGGTGGTTAAGATAAATCGCGCGATTTTATGTTTTGTGTGCGATGTTGGCGTTAAAAAAAACTTAATTTATATTCGGAGAATATAGTTTGTTTTTCTTGTCACACTCCTAATTCATATTTTTTTACATAGTCCTATTACAAATTTTCGAAAATAAAATGTGATTGTCAATTGTGTGTTCACCTTATACAATAGAGTTCGTATTTATTAGACAAAATAAGGTATACGCATTATGTATCTCTTGGACATCTGGCACAACACTACAAAATGCGTTGTTTTTGCGTGTATAACTTTGCTAATACTAGAGAGAGGACCCATGCTGCCCCGCAGCGTTAAAATAAGTTTCATTTTCGAGAAAAAATCAAATTTTTATGATTTTTGATTGAGTAATACAGTATCTAGAACTTAAGAGATTCAAACTATCAATAGCTCAAATTAAAGCCTATATTTTACTGATTATTTAGAGTCTAACACATATAAAAAAGGTAAATAATAGGCTACCTACTGGAGTTATTTATTTTTAATTACAGAAACACCTTATACAAAATTATTTTCATGTTGGTTGTTCGCCTTGCGTTTGCTTGAAACTCGTACGATTTGAATAAATAATACCTTAAATTAAAGCCGGTATTTAACTGAAGGTTCTTAGACCAAGATATATAAGATTAAAAATTATAACTGGTGAAATACATCTTAAATTGAAGTAAGAATCCGAAAATGAATCAAATGTATGTTTTTTGGTCGAGTAATACAGTAGATAAATATTTGCCGATGCTTGGTGTGAAATCTGTACGTACACATCTTCAATTTCAGACCTCAATCAGGAAAATCGGTCGGGTAGAAGATCCAAACGAACTAGGAAAAGAAAAACTCAAATTTAACTCCCATAAGAAATACATGGGGAGCAAATTGCGTTAACAAGCCGAGTGGGGCTGTAGATAACTATCTAACGCTAGTGGTTAGAACGCGTAATTGATTGATGAAAACATATTTAAAGTAAGTAAAAAACAGTTCATTTATACAATCAAATTGGCCATTTAAAAAAATCAAGCTAAGTTACTAACCATTATAAAATAACTGCAAGTTAATAATAATTTTTATTGGAAATAAATGTAAGTAAATCATATTCGTATTAATTCCAAAACGAGTTCATACTCCATGCGATATTTTCCCGTTAGACACCCGACGAACAAAAACCGAAATTGTAGTTTTCCAAACATACACTGAGTTCAGTAGTTAGTCCTTGGTTCCCAAAAATAATCAGCTGGTGTCAAGGTCATCAGCTGTTATTGTTTGACGTTTGTATCAGCGCTGTAAATCTGCATACGTGTGTGACAATGCTAAAAACACCACGATTGTGTAGATAGTTATGATACAATGGTTGCTATAGATGTTGCATTGGTGGTGTTTCGATTTCATTAATTGTTGCGACCAAACTGAAAAATAAACAGTCGAGTATCATGCAAATTGAAAAAATACAAAATACTACAAAATTCATCCTAGAATAAAAGAGGAGCAATTGATCGACATTGATGCATTTACACACTCCCACCTTGCACTGCAAACCAAAACAAGATTAGGATTTAATTATAGTATCAGAGGTCTGTATTATTTAAAGTTATACAATACTTTACTTTGAAATGGCGATCATGCGAATTTAGGTATTTTAAGCCAAGTATGGTTGGATATGAGTGTAGGATGAGTGATGCGATCTTGTAGTCTTGTTAGTGACTAAGGCCGTCATGTTTCTTAGACACAGCTTTTAATTAGCCCATACAGCCAATGGCAACTAAGTTACCTACAGTTTTTAGTGGAATCCGAACCACATTTTAGCATTGTAATTAACGAATTGGTCTGATTATCATGATAGTACTGCGGATAGTCGTAATACTCACTAGTGCGGGGTGGCATCCACAGTGCATCCCTAATGTCCACAATTCGTGACCTAGTAGCTGATTACAGAACGATGCCACCGTTTGAGTTCACCTTATTGGGTTATTATACTAATAGATCATGATTATTTCAATGTATTTTTATATTGGCAACGCTTTGGGTGCGTTTCTTACACGTATTTACACCGACTATGCTTATGACCGATAAATAGAACGACATTTTAAACTACAGTTTTGTATTTCGACACTATAACAAAAGAGAAAGGACTAAATATCCCCAACAAAGAGTTTGGGATGTAGTTGAAAGAGTAACGTTAGCTGTATAATAAAGTACACTTGTTATGGGCACAATGCAGTAATATGCGTTACCGTACATGAAACACAAATATTCAGATTTTACAGGATTTGCAGCTCCCTCACAGTATCAAAATCAGTTGATAGATTGACTGGCTGGTTAGCTGAGTGGTTATAGTGCTCGCCTCAATCAGATGATGCCGGATCGATCCTGGAAAAATCAGTAGCTTTTTGGAAGTTTGAAACTGAACCCAGCTGTCCCTGATCACTGGTCTTTAAAATGGCTAGTAAAAACAGCTGATCTTAATCAGTTACAAAGCTAAACAGATTACCTCACTTCATTCTACACTCATCGTTTACTCATATTTGGGTTAAAATACGCAAATATAGTAACAGTATCACAGCCTAATCCAAATGTTGTTCATGTTGCAATCCTACTGTAGTAATAGGGTTGCTTATACTGCTAATCCACTTCCAATTGTTTACGTATCCGAATTTTAAGTGACAAAAGCAGCCAACGTAAGCCACAGGTCGTCGCTAGAAATGGAGGGCTGCTGAGTAAACGAAGTATGACTGTAAGAAAAAACGAACAAATTGTTTTTAATTTCCAACAGATAGAATCTACAGGAATTAGCATGTTAATAGACCGGGAGATGAGGGTGCAAACAAGCTTCGGGCGCCTCGTGCTGGAATCTATATGACGGAAATTAACATTTGCGAACGTTTTATTTTGTCACAGTTAACTTCCAAACAATGGCGGATTGTTTACAATTATCCTACCATTTAAAAATGGAATTACCCTTTTTTCATTTTCTTTATTTGTTAGTTTTATTCTACAGGGTGTTACGTAACTCTTTGCCAACCTTTTATGGTATTATTTTAGGGTTGATCAATATAAATATCTCATTTAAATCGTCAACTGTTACTCACAGAGCCGTGCTTTTGTATTTTTTTACATGACATTTTTATCAATAACTATGGCGCTAAAAACTTTAAAAATTTGCATGAATAAAACGTTACTCTTAAAAACAAAGTATAATTTTATTGGAAATAATAATACAAACGTAATGACACCTCAAATTTGAAAATCTCATAAAACATAATAGAAATATGAAATTTTTTGTGGTGAACCTCTATTAAGTGTAGGTCAATTAATATACTTGTATGCTGGCTATATAATTTGCAAAAATTTGACAATAAACGAACCAATATGATCGTTTCATGATAAAATGCGAATTGGTTTTCTCATTGAAACATGGAAGGTTTTTGAAGGAGACTATGATGACATATGGTTGCATAGTATTGATTTTTTGCTTTAAGTATGAATAGAAGGGCAATGTTAGTTGTAACAAATTTGTTCATGGTCACAGTTTTTTCACATTAAAAAAAATAATCGCCATCAATAATGCATTAACAATGATAATACCATATATTACCAATATAATTCATCACTTTTTGCTCTACAATATTTAGTATTATTATTTTTTTCTAATCACGGTACTCACATTCAGAGTTGAAGCATTATTTCCAGCCAGACATGGAGTGCAGTTACAAATCTAGCTGAGAGCTGTTTGCACATGCCTCTTAACATGCTCGGCGTACAAAAGCCCCTTTCCGATTGTTTTCGAGCCCCCCCCCCTCCCACATCAACCCCCCAATCGGTGATTTTCCTTGCGTTTCACTCAAGAGAAGAAAACTGATTGACATCTGGTGGAGTTTTCTTACATGGCAGAGTAATCGTATTGTACAGATGTGTACAAGTATTTTTAAAAGACCAATTGGATACATTTATGATTTTTCTCACAAGTTCTCGATTTTAAATTTATTAGTGGTTGTATGACGTCTAGTTTAAGATCGCATAATTTCTTTAAATTTATCTTTGACCCACAAATTTGTAAATTTTTTTAACAAAGCAACAACGATAATGAGGATAAAAAATGGTACGTTTGAATTTAACCTAACCTAACCGTTTATGAGATTTTATTTGTTTACAATCAGATGTGTTTAAGTTCAAACGCTTGTCTAACAATGTTTAATTGGTCGATAAACGATTCCTGTACAGAATTTAGTTAGACAATCTTAAGAATTTCAACACAGAGATTAAATTAGTAACTCGAAAGGGACTAATAACATACAGGTTAACTAAGAAAATGCTTCTAGCTTATCTGTAAGAAACAAAAAGAGTTACATCCTTAATAAATGCAAACCGGGTTACAAATACTTGTTTTTTAGACAAAATCTGTTTTCTATGTTAAACATTAACATTTTTCACTCCCTCAACTAGTTGAAGCATGGTTAAAGGGAATTAATATAGCTTTATATTTTGAAGTGGATTCTTGAGTGTTCACTGGTTCGATGTCTGTTTCAGATGTGAAATGTGGAGTTATCATTGGACGGCTCGTCCCCGACTCGAACACACTTAATGTGGAGACGCACAGGTCAGTACTACTCAATACTGACAACATAATACTCATTAATACGAGTACTAACACTCGTACATATACCAGGTGTTTCAAAATGAATAGCAGGGTTCTTACGCGTTATAACTTTTATATCATTAAACTTACCGATATAAAATACTCATAAAATAAAAAAGCAACTCAAAGGGTGTATGTCTTCCAAAGACACGATATTTAACAAATCGATCCAGTAGAACTGTAGATTTAATTTTACAAAGTTAAAAAGTAATCTCCAACTTTTTTCATCACTAGAAATTCGGGGGTTGCTTGTCGTTTTTGCAAATAACTTTTAAATGGTGAGGAAATCGACCAAAGTGGAAGGTAATATTCCGAAAGATAATAAAATTTCCTACAGTACAATGTAATATTATGCATTTCTTGAAAATACTTAATAAAACACAAAACAAAACACAGCCTAAAATTGCCAGAAAAAAAATTGAGAATCCCCCTTTTTATGTTTACTTATGTCTATTGTCTACATTGAAAACGGAAATTTTCACATACTTTTATTTTGAGACAATTGTCGGCTGCCTTTAATGAGTATTTTCAAGAAATACTCCTTGAACCTCATTGGTCCGTTACCCGTGTTGTTATGAAAAACTCTGCTGTAATGTAAGTAATAGTAAACAATGCTGTTATGAGAAACTTTTCAATTCTAAGAACTGAACTAAAACGGCTACTTTAAGAAACGGTCGGAGGTAAAACCTACGAAATCATATATGATTTTGATACAGAAACTATACATCATAATATCAGTTTTAACGTTTATATTTGTTTAGTAGCAGAAAACTAAGTAGGCCTATTTTCAATCTAACTAGCGCTATATCGTACATTGTTTTATGTTTGTCTTGACCCAAATAACAAAAGACAATTTCTGCACAAAGTTAATCCAAAACGTCCTCATTCTGTAGTTTCTATAAGCATACCTTTTGATATAAAATATCCTAAATATTTAGAAACCTTAATTTGTTCCAGAATTGTGTTTTTTGAACTTTTGACATTACAAATGTATTTTTGACTCCCAAAACAATTTTCCACTCTTGTATTAAACATGTCACATAATTTTCGGAAAACCAAGAGCAATAGTTTACAATAATTAACCAAATAAGTAATACAATATTTATATTGCACAATGCACAATTCTCTCTGAATTCATCACAGTCATACCCTTTTCATGTTTGGGAAATAAACTAAAAATTGATTCGTCTGTGGTTGTAGCATGCATAGGGAAATAACAACTATTGATGGAGAATCAAGATTCATAATTCTAAGTATTAATCTTGTGTGGCTTTGTAGATGTAATCTTATACTTGGCCTTCAAGTGTTGCACACTAGAGTTTCAATTGTTATGGATTGATTTTACGATTAAATTGACGATGAAAAAAACAGTGGTTCCATATAAAAACAAATTGTGTTTTAGTAACAACTTACTCCGTATTGAATAAGTGTACAGTTTAGTCTATAAATTCCACCGGTGTCGACAAGGGAAAATTTGTGTTGAATTCAAAACATACTTTAAGTGCACTTTCCATTCTGTTTCAAAACATGAACCTTTTTTGAATATTTGTTTAATGAATGGAAACGGATCTTTGCGTTTTGTTGACTATTTTTTTGTTTAGGTAAATTATATAGAGTTCTCTTTTCCTATTTTGATTGATATTTCCTATAATTGTTATTGTCTTGCATGTTTAGGGCTACTAATATAATAAAAATCAAAAGCATATTTAACAAAGTACCCTTTTAGTAATTATTTTATTTTTCATGACATGTTTCGGAGACTAAGTCCATTGTCAAGTCATATTTACCATAACCTCATTCTTTAAACTAACAAAATTAAAAATATAATCATATGTAAAAATAATAAAATATAAAATATGTTAACTAAATCTTAATACATTTTTGTATTAATTTTTTTTCATTATACTATATGAATGTTTTTCTTTCTTTCCTTAGTTTTTCAATTTTATCGTAGATAGGTTGGTTTAATTTTGGAATCATTGTGTTAAGTATGTTGTTGGGGTCCTTTTTGTTATGTATATAAATATTTAGCTCTTCTTTTACATTAAGTTTCTCACGTTCTTTTTCATATTCTAAAATTGTTAGATTTTCTTTCATGTTTTTATAACTGTGGTCTGTGTTCATTATATGGTCGGCGAAGTTCTACTTCATTGATGTTTGATTTTTTGATTTCAATGCTTGTAGATGTTCTTTGAATCTTGTTTTAAAACTTCGAGATGTTTGACCTATATAATAATTGCTACAGTCACTACAGTTTATCTTATAGATTGATATTTGTTATAATATCACACGACAAACCTTAGTTTACAATAATTAATTTTAAAGCCAATGAAATGTATTATTTTGTAAAAAATTTTTTTACCAAATTCCCCAATAGGGAAGTGGCTTTAGGGCCCGGTAAGACCTAGACCTGGGACCAATTTTTTTTTTTTTTTTTTTTGATGTCCACAGAGGCAAAAAACCATTCGTATAAATGTTTATGTATACATTTATCCCTGAACGCGATACCTCGAGTAATTTTGGTCCAATTTGTATGAAATATGGCTTGAAGGTATAGGGCTTGGTATAAACTTGAATGCGTTCACGAACCAGCAAGATCTCCGCGAACCAGCACTCTTGGTTTTCCAACGGTTCACCCGGAGACCAATTTTAATTATGTAGTCAGTTTTCAGTTACGCCGAGGAATTTTTTTTACATAGATTAAAATTCCGCCAATCAACCTATTTTGACGTTTGAAATCCCCACGATAACGCATTTGAACCAGATTACACCGACTAGCAGAGCTCTTATCTCCTTATCACACACTTTTATACAGAATGTGGATAAAGTACTTGAACGTCTGTGTTCCGGATTAGCATTATCTTACTCGAACCTTAACCTACTTTAATCCCGTTGTTTATGATTGCAGTTCCCTCAACCCGATCGGGCTCTTTATAGCTTTATGTTATATTATAAAGAAGTAAGAGTTAACATTGATATTATACTATAAAAATAATTCAATACAAGTGTCTATGTCCGTGCTTCACAACGGGAAGAAGATGCGAAAGAGAATAATGCGGCTCTTTTGAATTTGTGGATAAAATATTTAACATCCATCTAACATGTAAGTGGCCCTGGTGCGTATTTAAAAATACTGCTACTATATGATTCAATTTGAAAAGGTCAACTTACATGTGTAGACCTACCTTCTTTAAAACCCCTACTTTTCTGTATATTTTTATTCAAGCTCGTTTGCTTATATCTCGTAGCAAAAATATCACAGAAAGTTACAAGCAAACTTCTACAGATCTTTTGCTACTTTTAATTAAACATAACCCTCTTACTCACCTAAATAACTAAAAAAACTGTCACAATGTAAATAAACACCAACAAAAAAATGTCTACAGCTGCTTTATTTACTACTGTATCGACCAATTAACCTAAGCGTTGGAGGAAATTATTGGTAAACGCTGGACCAGCTGATCGTAGTCGTAGTATCTTTAGGTTTGCCAACCTATTTCCAAGCGTGTTGTTTGGTTGGAATGCTGGTGTGTGGCAAAACAAGAGTGCGGAAAATTCAAAAGAGTGCGCCAAATCAGTGCAAGGAAGCCCATTTCGTCAGGTGACTGCAGGAAAAGTATTTTTTTTAGCCCGAGTTGAAATTGTACGTTGAACCTGCGAGCAAAAAGTAACATAACTTCAATATTATTAAGGCAAAATATGAAGTCTATGTTATAGGTACATCATCGATCTGTCCTGATGTTATAACCAACAATAAATTGAACAATTAAAAATTAAATTAATTTACAAAAAGAGAGAAGCAAACTTACTTTAATGTTTTACCGTAGGAGGCGAAGTCTACTTGCAACAAATATATCAACTAACATTGTTATATTGAGAGTTAATTCAGCTGAACAGTAGTGAAATAGCTGTCACTGTTAACACGGTTTGCCAGTCAAGAGCTGGAAATTAATTCAATCATTTATCCGATTTCCCAGAATGATGATTCCGAAACAAATACAGTTTCTGATCTAATATCAGCTCGATATCAAGAGACATAGATTAGTAAACAATCGATGGTGGATCTTTTACAATACACTCTTGTGTTCCGTAGAAGTGCCTACAAATTGTCATGGTTAAAATTATGGCTACCAGTTGGACCGTAAAAATCTAAATACATACTGTAAACAGTTTGACACATTAAAATAAAATAAACTTGCTGAAAATTCCGAATTCGATTAGCTAACATTAAAACTGTATTGAACAGATTAGTTCTCTTTCTGACGTTCCTGATGAGAGTAGTAAGGCTTGTTTCACATCTATCCGGCTGTTGGGTGCCGGAGCCGGAGTGCCGGTGTCGGCAGTCGGCGTGAGGCCTGTTTCACATCTACCCGGCTGCCGGGTGCCGGGTGTCGTTTAACCGGCAATGGGGTAAAGAAGTATATGGCACCGTTCACACATGCACGGCATGTGTCGTGACCGGTTAATCACTTGCCCGGCTGCCGGGTACTAGTCGAGGGATGCCGGGTGCCCCCTCGGCGAAGGCCGGCTGCCGGTGTCGGTTAAACGGGCCGGCTGGAGTAGTGGGTATAGCGGCCAAATGTGACTGTTCACATACAACCGGCACCTGCCGTCTGTCGGGTGCACCAAAAGTACTTTTAGTTCAGTTGTTTGTTGTTAATTTGTATTAATTTTGGGTATTTGTTCTTAAAGTTTTGGTCATGTCGGAAATAGACCATGAACTACTTATCAATTTAGTTCAAGAGCAGAATTATTTGAATTCAACTGAATTTTTACTCAATTTTCATTTTCATTTTTTTATTTTATTACATAACATTGATTTGCATTTCACTCAAATTCAAACAGAATTAATTTAAAAAAAAAATCCAAATATAAATACAGTTGCAATAAAGGTTATTTCAAAGTAACATTACAATTGCTCTATTTCCAAAAAACGATTCTTATTTCGTTCTATTTCCATC